GTATTATGTTGTTGTTATGTACCATCAAGTTGCTTGCAACTCATAGTGACCCTGTGTACAAGAGCCCTAAACACCATTCTATCCTGTGCCAACCTCGCCGTCTCCAACACACTCATTCCCACCACTCCACTCACAGAGTCGATCCATATCATCAAGGGTCTTCCTTTCCTGTGCCGTCCCTCCACTCTCCCAAACATGATGACCCTCCCCAAAGACCAGTCCCTCCTTGCAACATGCCCAAAGTATGTCTGATGAAGCTTTAGAATCCTCGACTCCGAGGAACATTCTGGCTTCACCTTCTCCAGAACAAATCTGTTTGTTCTCCTAGCAGTCCATGGTATATCAACACTCTTCTCCAGCACCATAGCTCAAAGGCATCAATTCTCTTTCTATCATCCCTATTCACTGTCCAACTCTCTGATTCATAGCAAGTAATTGCGAAGACTATGATCAGAAATTGAGAAGAGAGGAAGATAAAATGTGAAAATTAATATATAGATAATAGCATATAATAAGTTATCTGAAGGAAAATTAAATACACAATGAGGTAATGACCAACTGAATTCGTTGCTGTCAAGTTGGAACAGCTGCAAAGCTGACCCTCCAGAGAGTTTTGAAAAGCCTACAAATCGTAAGAGAAAATTGTCCATCTTTCTCATGTGGAACCACTGATGGATTCAGGTCCACTGAGTGAAGCTTCCTTTGGGTTAGGAGTGCAACTTCCTCCTGACTATACCATTAGTTGTTGTTGTTGTTGCTGCTGTTTTTACCGTGTACCATCCAGTCGCTTGTAGCTCATAACATTTGAGCTTATAGTTAAAATACCACATTGTGATTGATACCATAAAACAAACTCTATATGAATGACTGGAATAAAACAGTGTTTCTAAACTTTCATTCAGATCATGTGAAAGAAATATATAAAAAAAAAAAAGTATTGTCCTGAGACATTTTTATCCTTAAATAAAAATTACTCTGAAGTTTTCATTAACTAAAACGATAGCTAATTAAAAAAATAATGTCTTTTTCACATTGTGCCCTTTCAAAGAATTATTTTAAAATCAGGTCAAATTGATTCAAAAGTTTAGCTAGGAAGCTTAGTAAGCAGTGAGTTTATGTTAAAGTGAAGGACAGTTTCAGAGAAGTCAACTAAGAACTGCAGAAGTTGGAGAATGTAATCAGTGGACGTGTATAAATGACACATAATTATTGACTTCAGGTATGTTTTTCTGTGTATGTTTCCAATAAAGGCAAAATAAGTTTTTAAAAGAGGAATGAGTGACAGGAGTCACAGATGAATATACAGAAGAAAGAAATGATTCATCATCACCTAAGAGAAAAAGGTACTCTGCACCATGTCCACAGCAGTAAAGTCAGATAGATATTCTTTAAATACATAATCAAATAAGAAAGATTGTGATTCTGGAGAGATCCTATAGGCTTATGAAAAAGAATTAAACACAAGAAAACTTACATGAGCCTTTGATATTTTTTATATATTGTGCTATTTTTTATATATTTCAGTAAAGTTTTTCTTTTCTTTTTTTTATTTGCAAGTTGGTTGTGGTGCTTCTGCTGCCTCTAAGCTTCCATTCCCTTGTGTCTCCATAAGCATTCCCCAGCCAGATCCAAATATTAGTCTCTGAGAGCTCCCGTTGAGGTCAGGTTTAGAGAACCAACCAAGGATCCAGAGTCTCCTGAGATATCTACCCCTGTTGATAGCAATTGTTTCCCTAGAGACCAGTGTAAACAGGTCATTGCCTCTGCCTTGATAATTGCAAGGGCATGAGGTCAGGTTCTGTTCCACAAACTATAGATCCAGAGGTGAGCAAGGAGTTCGTCCAGCATTAAGCTTTCCTGGATTTGGCTTTCAGGTCAATGCCTCAGGTATGAAGATGTTCTGAACCTGTACCCTTGGAACCTCATGGGTTTTCTTTGAGGAAGCAAGCAAGTATAGGAACATTTACACTCATAGCCACTTGGAGTTTGAAGTATTCTGGAAGATTCTATAATTTTATTTTACAGATGATGAAAAGTGAAAGTGGAGAGGATGAGGACATCCTGGTATTAGTTGTATTTTCAATCTTAGTCCTTTGTTTGTTCTTTCCTCTCTAACACGCTATACTCTTGTCACCCAAAAGACATGTCACTGTTATGACATGTCCTTATAAAAATGGTGGGAATGAAATGGTATATTCCTAAAAGTCAGGAAAACAACACTTCAATGTGTTCAAGTTAGAACATACTGTCAGGATGATAGCTGAAAAGTAATGGGTCCAAATCTAACCATCATACTGCAGGAGGAAGACGGAAATTCTCTTCCTGTAACAGTTTCCATCCTCGAGGACTCAATGGAAAGTCACTATGATTCAGAATTAATTAGATGTTAAAGTTTTTAGGGTTTTCTTTCTTTTTATTAAAAGAGCATAGCAGAAGAAATAGAATTCTTCTTATTCTGAATTTAAGAAGTTCTAATATTACCAACATCTTACCAGGGATTCTTGATATTTTAAGTCATGTTCTTTGATAGCATCAGATTTTGTATTTTCCATTTTACTGGCTGGATAACCTACAGCCATTAAAAAAATTAAATTTTTCTATCTTCACCTCTTTACTTATAATGTTCTGTTTTTAATGAGTTTTCTTTGGTCTTTTTATACACACAAGGCATATATGAAGATGTTGGTCAACATATTGGTCATTCTTGGTATTATCTAAATAATACAGAAATTAATCTTTTTTGCAAAAGAAATGTAATCAGTCACATCTGTTTATATGTTTAGACCCAATATGGAAATTATTACAAGCCTAAATCTGTAACAGTTGATAAGTCAAGAAGAAATGTGATAGTTGATAGTATGTTTGGGGACCTTCTTAGCACTTCTATGGTGATTTCATAAACATTTTTAGAGATCATTTTATTGCAGCCCTTATCACTTCTTGGAGAAGTCTCTGAAGAGGTCATTTTTTACCCTTTTTAAGAACTCAGGAATTGCGATATTCATTTTGTAACACAAAGTTCTAGTATAGCATTTTGCAAAATCAATAGGAGGAAAATAAGAAACAGATACATACTATTGCTGAACGTATTATTTTTGCTACTGTGTATATCTTGGAAGCAGAAGTGGCATCCACTTCTGAAATAGCTTGCCTCCAGAAACTCTATGAACTTGGAGAATTTATGAAAGTTACACAAATGTTCAGGTCTTTCAGTCATAGGGTCACTGTGAGTTGTCTACGACTCAACAGCACTTCATAACAACAACAACAACAACTGTGTATGTAGGACTTTTATATCTTTTAATATATTCATTTCATCTTTATAACCCAAAGAGTACACAAGTACGATACTAACTTTATAGTTCACAGAGAAGGAAACTGAGATTCAAGTAATATTACTAAAGCCTTAGCTCATCTAAGATACTAATATGTAAGTGACAATTATATAATTGGAAAGAGCATATCCTTGCTCTTGGTCAAATGAACATCTTGGTTACTTGTGTCATATCTTATCTGACACATTCTTTCAACTCTTTTTATGAGTCCAAACCCCTCTGTCTCATTTCTACCAATTAATTACTTTTACCTGTTACCTACTAATTGAAATTTTGAATGAGCAATGAATTTTTCAAATAAACATCTTTCTGCTTGTAGTTTTCAGCTTATGCTATTGTGCTTGTCAGTTTATGACTTTTCCTTTCCCAGTTTAATAGAATTTTTAGTAATAAGAGTAACAATAACAGAAAAGTAAATTCTGACAATTTTTTTAAAAAAGAGTAACAGTAACAGCTTAAAATATTGAGCACTTGTTATAATCTAAGCTACTGTATTTATTAAATGCCAAAAGTTAAAATAGTTATCAGTCTTCTAGGAGAGAGGAGGAAATGCAGAAGTTAATTAACTTGGCCTACTATTTTGAAATCAATTCTTGACATTATAGATTTTAAAGCATATTTCTAGGATTCATATAGTTTCTACAAATAACTAAACTGCTTCAGGAAGTAATTTATCTTCTGAAACCTCAGTTCCCTTCTAAGCAAAATAAAAATAAAATTATCTTTCTCACATAGTTGCTAGATATATTGATCAGTTTATAGATATGACTAGTTTAGAAGAGTTTCCTACCACATTTATATACTATATAAAATATTTGCTCTTATAACGTTAATCATTATTCTTTTTTTTTCAGTCTCCAAGTCATAGGACAGAAGCTATCATTTCCAGAAAGTCTTCTCGTGCTCCTCTATTAAATTAAAATGCATCTTTTCATTTAAGTCCACTAAAAGTAAATTCTGACTCAATAGTACATCACAACAAGTCATGTCTACCAAGCCAATACATTGTGACTAATATACCTGCATATATACAGGTTTATTCCTAGGAGGCTATCCTTAAAAATCATTGACCATATGTTATCTTGCATTAAATGTGAAATGTTACTAATCAAGGAAAAACAAAAGTAACTCAACATTTAGCACCAAGACTAGCCTTTCATACTATAATCAGGATTGCCACAATAAGCTATTGGTTCTGCTAATCCTGGAGGTGACCACAACAGGTGGAACATCTCAATGGATAAGCAGGTCTACAAACATAGCAAGTAGTAAAAAATACTTCTTACGATGTAGTATAAAATGTCCTACCACGTATATTACACATTAAGCAATGTGGACTGTCCCACAAAGTCTTAATACAAAACTCTGTGATAACCATCATCAGAGACATTCCAGAGCCTTTCCATCCTGCTTCAAGATAAATGGCCTCGTTCACACCACCACTGGCCAGATTCAGTCCAGAGTCTAACAGATAAAATCCTGCCCTCGTCAGGAAGCTGGTGCATGTGAGCAAGAGACCAGGGCCACCTTTCAGTTCTCTGGATAGTGTTGAAATATCATTATCATGATGGTGTTCAGAAAAGCAGCACCTTATCAACACAACACTATTTTAGGTTTTATCATCTTGCCATAGATGTCACGCTTGGTGATTCAATGAGGACTTTGATGGAGAACATCTCAGAGGTGACTGAATTTATTCTCGTGGGGTTGACAGATGCACTAGAGCTGCAGATCCCACTATTTATAATCTTCACTCTCGTTTACTGCATCACTGTGGTTGGGAACTTTGGGATGATTTTGTTGATTGTGTTGGACTCTCGTCTTCATACTCCCATGTACTTTTTCCTCAGTAACCTCTCCCTTGTAGACTGTGTTTATGCCTCAGCTGTCACTCCCAAGGTGATGGTGGAATTTCTCACAGGAGACAAGATAATTTCCTATAATGCCTGCGCTGTCCAGATGTTCTTCTTTGCAGCCTTTGCCACTATTGAAAGTTTCCTCCTGACTACAATGGCTTTTGATCGCTATGCAGCAGTGTGCAAACCCCTGCATTATACCAGCACCATGACAAGTACTGTGTGTGTTCTGTTGGTTACTGGTTCCTACCTCTGTGGACTGTCACAGTCTTCCATTCACGTTGCCCTCACTTTTCAGCTCTCTTTCTGCCGTTCCAACGTGGTGAATCACTTTTTCTGTGATATTCCCCCACTGCTGGCCCTCTCTTGCTCTGATATCCACACAAATGAGATTGTCCTCTTCACCTTGGCAGCTTTCAATGTCTTTTTTACTCTCTTTGTTATCTTGAACTCTTACCTCTTCATATTTATTGCTATCCTGAGAATGCGCTCAGCTGAGGGACGAAAGAAGGCCTTTTCCACCTGTGCTTCCCACCTCACCACTGTGTCCATCTTCTATGGGACAATCATCTTCATGTACTTACAGCCCAGCTCCAGTCACTCCATGAGCACAGACAAAATAGTATCCGTGTTCTACACCATGATCATCCCCATGCTGAACCCTCTGGTCTATAGTCTGAGGAACAAAGAGGTCAAAAGTGCCTTCAAGAAGGTTGTTGAAAACATAAAGTTTTCTTTGGGGTTAGTGTATTAATGAAGCCCTAAACAAACTGTGGAAAACTTTAATTGGGCCCTTACCTTGTGAAGGCAATTCTATTCACCATGACACCACGAGTGTCAGAGTAGAATTCCTTTCCACAGTTTTTCAATGGTTGTAAGCTTAGAGGGGAAAAAAAGGTTTATGTAGGAAATGTCTTCTTCAATGTTGCTGCGTGCATTACATCTGTAAATAGTTTTAATTAGTAGCTGTGCACAAACATTTGTACCATCTCAAAACCCTATTGGGGCATTTATGGAAACGGACACATTTATTGACAAGGAAAACTCTAGAATGTTAAACAGGAAAGACGAACATTTAAAGACCAAGATGCAACTGATCAATGCCATGATATTTCCAATTGCTTCTGTGCGTCTGAAAGTTGGACAATAAAAAAAAGATCACCAAAGAAGCATCATTGCCTTTGAGTCATGATGTGAGTGAGGAGCACTGAGTATCCCACTGAAAGCTAAAAGAGCAAACAAATCTGTCGTGGATGGACGAACTGTGAGCAGGGTATACGGTTGAGGCAATGGAATGGAAATTCGTCTCTCATATTTGGGGCATGTGGTCCAGAGGAGCTGGGCCTCAGGACGAAATCAACATACTGGGGAAGGTAATGAGTCACAAATAGGGAGGAAGACCCTCAGTGGGGTGAATTAACATAGGGAATGTAAGAAGAGGCTGGCCTATGTTGGAAATTGTGAGGATGGGGCAGGGTCGGATCAGATGCCAAGCTACTATTTGCAGGATCGTTATGAATCAGGGTCAATTTGACACATGACAAGAACTAGAAACTTATTGGGATGCTATTGTCTGCTGTTAGGGACTTTTTCAAAGTTCTGAAGAGTAATGATGTCTCTCTGGAGACTAAGGTACATCTGATACAGGCCATGGTCTTTGCAATCACTTGTTATGCATCAGAGAGCTGGACAATGACTAGGTAGAATAGAAGGAGAATTGATGCCTTTGAGCTGTACCGTGGACTGCTAAGAAAACAAACAGATTCATCCTGGAAAGGGTTAAACCGGGCAGCTCCTT